GTGGTTGAGGAGCGGGTCTGTAAATTTCTCATATTCCCCAAATATGAGAAATTTACAAACCCGCTCCTCAACCACCCCTCTCTCAGTATAATTTGATTTACCTCCCAGAATCTGGGAGGTCACGTGACCAGCCTTCACAAGGGTCTCCGTCCCGCCGCGGGTGTGGAGGCCCTTGCTTGCGAGGTTGGGTTTGTGCATGGTGTTGCAATAAGAAAACATTCCGACTTTGTTTGTTCAACTCATCATTTAGGTTTTCAGTAAGTTCCGCTGTATATAAATTATTAGCGTTAGAGGACATTTAAGTATCGTCGACATATACATGAGGTGTAGTTTTATCAAGACATTCTGGCATTTTGGTAGATCTTTAATGTAATGTAAAACAGCAAAACCAAAGGACTTAGAAATGATCCCTGCGGAACACCGCAAACACTCTTTTTAGCTAGATCGATGGTGACATTGTGCCGTTAACAATGTACACTTAATTGTTCGTTATTGCATGGTCAGGTAGGATTCAAGCCATTCCAATTCAACGTTTATTTTTCGAGATTTGTCTTCCATCTTTTGCAATAAGATTTTATGATTAAACGAATCAAAAACTTTACAAGTGTCAAGAAAAACAACCGATCATCGAACTGTCCATTATCCATGTTCTCATAAAATGTGTCACACATCTGAATAAGTGCCGTGACTGAACAGACTGACCAGATTGATATTTGGACAGGAGCGAGTTATAGTAGTATCGAACTTGGGATCAGATTAGAAATTGGCAGTACCTGGGCCATTTAAAGTGTTGGGAGAGGGGTGGAGAGGTAATGCCCGCCATAGAAGAGGCCGAAACTAGTTTCACATTATTCTCACACTGCAATGAACAACGAAAAAGTTTATTGTCACGAGCAAGTTCGGACTCGCATCTTTGGATTCCTGGACACATTGAGCTATCGAGTCAACGCGGACTGGTAGGGAGTCTTATTCAATTTAACTGCACGAAATATTTTCGCGACGACCTACCGCTTGTCGTGGAGGACGCGCAGTTTTTCAATTATATTTCATAACCGACCTCAGAGATATGCAAAACTATTTTTTCACTATATCCCTGAGGATTGTTCCGAAACAAAAAAGTTGAGTCTTATAATCCGTACCACATATTAAAATTGCAGGAAATGGACTTATTCTTCCGACCGTATAAATCCATATTTTCCGTGGAGGGGCGAGAGGGAGAGTATGAATTCCAGTGGTTATTGTACCTCCCGTACCCACCTATCATTGGCACCAAGCCCGTAGCTGGCTCTCAATTTCTGGGGGGGCACTGCAGAAAGAATATAACAGACGGTTTGAGATGAGAAAAATTTTTTCCGGAATTTCTTTGGGCGACCTCCCCCCCTCCCCCCCCGTCGCCAAAAAAATTTCGGTCAGTGTACCATTTTAGGGGTCAAAATTTTTTTCCGGACAGACCAATTTTTTCCGGACAGACCAAATTTTTCCCAAACCTAACAAAATTTTTCGAAACATCACAAAATTTACAGAATATGTCCCATGATTACAATTGCTTTCCAGGTCCTTTATCTCAATTTTTCATACCGAATTTCGGAGTGGGGGAGCACTGGGGGGCACTGCCCCAATGAGTGGGGGGGGGGCAATGCCCCCCAGGCCCCCCCTCAGCTACGGGCCTGATTGGCACTGGGATAAACTCGCGGCAGTCGTTTATATTAGCGGATATCACTTCATTTAAACGTGTCTGCGAGGTAGTGCACGTTTCAGTTTTAACGTAATAATCGCCTGCTGAGTTTGAAGTAGAACACTATAAAAAATAATAGTGAAACATAATCCAGTTTTTTACTAGCTAATTTCTTCGTGCGAACCATGTGAAACGATATTTCTATATTGTTGAAAACTTGAAATTGAAAAGAATTGATTAGATATGTAATTAGTTTCAGTATATGTGTACAGGAAGTGGAAACCCGGCTTTGCTCCACAGACTATACGGGGTTGAGCCTGTTCTTTTACGCATTTAACATCAATTAAGTACTAATGAGCCGCTAATTCGTCTGGTCATTTTCTGTCTCGATCATAAGTTTGGCGGCATAGTATATAATGGTTCTGTTTACTCAATGAGATTAGTTTCTCGTTCACATTATAGGCCGCATTCTCGTTGATATTACCGCTTGATCGTGGGTGTTTGTTCATAGATGAAATTACAGAGAATGTAAAGAAACCATGCAGCGGCAATAAACCATTTGGAATAATTAATTTACAATTACATGCATATTCACTTTACATTACAATAATTTATGGCTAAACCTCTAATTCAGCAATATTTATATGATCAGATACATCAATTCTATTTTAAATGATCGAATATAATTTCTACCAGAATTTTCAGTGTGTTACAAACATCGCAGAAAATAGTCCAATCTCGGTGTATCCATGCAGTATCTTTAGTTTTATATATATAGACATTTGTACATCCATTTACTAACAAGATTTCCTGTTATTTTTAGGTTTGGTTTCAAAACAGAAGAGCAAAATGGCGGAAACGAGAAAAGATGAGAACATTTGGTTTTGCTCCCCACATTTTCTGTGCTGGATTTGACCGATATCCTTTCACATCCCCAACTGCTTCTGCATACCCCTACCCTGCAGGTGCGGTAGCGTATTATCATCAACAAGAGCCTTGTATTAACCCTTCGATATATCCAGATCTACACAGCACTATGGATATCAGGGGGTATATGGCTCGATATGAGTGTACAACCAATGGCAGTTTGGGACCTTTAGGTACACCAATATATCATTGCTCGTGTAATGGAGTGCATAGACAACATGTGATTGCATCACACCCCACCCTATCACCACAGTTATCCCCGTTATCGTACGATTCCAAAAGACTACCATCGGCCGGAACTCGAGAAGAATCACCCGGACAGGAACAACGTGCAACCAGTATTGTGACATTACGTACTAAAGCCAAGGAGTACGAACTGAGTAACTTAAAAATAAAATCTGAGTTTGAAGGCAGATAACGACATAACAACGCTGCTTGATTCATGTGACGTCATGATTTCAATCAATGAACAGCTATATAGTAAACGTCACGAGGCAATACATGGTGGTCAACTTCAGAACTGTTGACACTAGTAGTCACTAGTAGAACTGAGTAACCAAATTCAACTATACATCTCAGCTTACCTCCAAATGCAAGACTGTTACATGCATTATTTGCTGGCGTGATAACTGCTGTTTGATCACCATCTGCTGCACGTGACGATATACCGGAACTGAGCCGGTATGTAAATAAAGCGAGCTCATGAAGAACATTTTAGGTTCTCTATTGACGAGAATTTCCTCCAGCCGAGCATTACAAACACATGATAAACGCCGAAAACGTCTGCTTCACGATCGAGGGGAGGGTAGTTAGGAGTATGTTATCAGATACAAAGCCACAGTATGAACATACGCTGAATTTCATCCGCCGAAGACATGTAAAGTTTTATTTGCAGTTCACCCTGTTTTATATAGAATGATGTTCTTATCAATAGAAAAATCCTTAGGTTTCCTGGGTTTACCTTCATCGGTAAACGTGCGTTATTATTTTTCATTTTTATCATTATTTTTCATCTTTCTCTCTTTTTAAAATATTTATGATTGTAAGAGGTTAAAGATTTTGTGAACTACTTTTGTAAATATTATAAGTTTAAATTATTAACAATAATATAAAAATGGACACAAGTTAGAAAATAATGCAAAATCATGTAAATTTAAATCAAGATTTGGAAATAAATTGATGATTCATAAAGCAGGAAGTACAAAAATATATATTGTCAGACGAAGAATTTTTAGGACTTCCTGCAGCGTGAGGGACGGACGAAATTCAAAGAAACGTAAAAACACCCACAAAACACCCAAATTCATAAAAGGCATGTCATAAAAAGTTTTTCAAGTTTTTTAAAAAAATAGTTTTTAAAAAAGTTTTAAAAAGCTTTAAAAGAGTTTTGAAAAGCAAGAAAAGTTTAAAAAGTTAGGGTTAGTGGTTAGGGTTGGGGTTAGGATTAGTGTTAGGTGCCGCGAATTTATTATTATGATAAATTCAAAATTTGCCGCGAATTTATCATAATGATAAATTCGGACTTGTTTAAGAATTTACTCATATAGTAAATTCAAAGGTGGAGCTCATGCTGGATATTTTCGTTACATGTCTTCAAATTTGGATATGCTTTTCATTATAGTCAGTGACACTGACAGACGGCCCGCCGCGGAACGGTCTGCCGTAAATTTTGTAATACACAATAACTTAGGTCGTGTGATTATCTGATTATTTTCCGTATTACTGAGATTGGTCAGTCATATCTTTGGAGATTTGTATATATCATATAATACCACCATTTAAAGTTTGTAAAATATATATATGAATGAACGTTAAAAGTAGCATTTGTTCAGTGTGTTTACCTTTCAGTTCTAGGCCTGACGCATTCGATCTCTGCGTTAGCGCAACCTAGTGTGTCTTTCAAACAAGGTGGTATAGTGAGCAATTCCTATAATATTTCAAATCCGACTATGTCTATGAGGACTGGACTAGATTTCAAGTCCGTGCAATTTGATCAAGTCTGAGGCGAAGCCGAGGACTGGATCAAAATGCGAGGACTTGAGTCCAGTCCGAATTGGAGGATTCGAAATGACATCTCGTACGAATAAATAATTATTAAAGTGAGGTGAATTAGTTTTGATCCAGTCCTAGGACTGAATAGTTAATTTTGATCTAGTCCCAGGACTGGACTCCAAACATTTAAAGTTATATACCAAACATTTAAAGTTTCTTCCAAATATTCTGTTTCCTGCTGCATATGTTCTGAATCAGGTTAGCGCTGAAAGAGTTATAATTCCTTACCCTAACTCAAACTGCAGTGTAACTAAGCCCGGATGAAAGAACGAGGATGAGACTGATGAGAGTTGGTACTCACGCGACCTTGGTTAGCGTAACAATACGTAACTGCCAACTCTCATCCTTGTTTGACCGGGGCTTTTAATAGAGGTCGACAAAGAATTAATAAGAGCATTTTGTAAATGTACCAAAATTACCTGAAGCAATGCATACCATTAAAATATTTCATTTGTGGTGTTGAGATTTATGTGTCATTTTAATGTAAACTTTGGTGTAATGGGGCGTAAACACTCCACATTTTTACGACAACAATCATGAGGTACTCAACCTGTTAACTGGTTGTTTTTTTAACCACCCATGTTAATGCAATGACGACCCTAAGTATTCGTTAATTGTTTGATAATGTTATCATGAAGTAAGCAGAATATCCTGTCATCAGGGATAATGTGGACTTAAACTGATAATGTTTTCACAGTTGTATGAGCGGTTGTCATCGACATACAGCACTTATCGATATATGATATTTCGTTGGTATTTTGTATCATATCCCTCTCTCCTCTACAGAAAGCGGGTCAGTAGAGGAAAATGACGTCCTTGACTTTTTCTTCAGATGATCTGATTTCAAGTGAAAATCGCCGCCATTTCGAATGGGGGCGAAATAAAGCCTCGTTTTAATTTGAACGTCATTCACTGAATGAAAGCTTCTGACTACTGGAATAAGCAAGAACTGTACAGGGATGCAGTGTTTCTATATCTTGACTTTCTATATCTTGACCAGTAGATAACCATTTCTTGTCGGTACAATATTTCTAGTCAAGTTAGTTTCGAGTTGTTTTTTAGTCCGCTTAAATTAATTAACCAATATATGAACATCTTTGAAATGTAAAGCAGGGTCGCTGGTCCGATAAGCATGCATATGTATTATACTACAAGACCAGTGCATGATAGCTCATGATAAGCATAATGTGCGTGTTCAATGTTCTATTTTTCATTGATAAATCATGCGAAACACACCAAGGACTGGAAATCAAGATCGTGAAGGAGCTTGTATGATTTACATAAACTTCAGTTAAGATTATTAAAAAATACGAACGTTTCCATCAAGACGAATCACAAGCTATACAAAGCATTCCCATCCTTGTTGCATAAGATATACCACCTTCAACTCGTGCCGATGCATATGTCAGTCTAATACTTCTTGGGCATCCCACAATGCTTTGTTTTGTTCTATGATGCTAATCTTGAACAGAATCAAGTAATTTCTATCTTAAATCATGGAAGACAAAATACTGTGCACATGACATAATTATCCATAGTCTATCAATGTTTAAACAAAGAAAAAGTGATAATGTGTAATGTGCAGTGGCGATTAAACTGCCGTAAAGACTGTGATAAGGACACTTATTTTTCACCCCGCTGCTCGGTTTCCTTTGTTCTTATCGGGGAATACATCCAATATTCCCCTCTAACTGATCAATTTCCCTCCAATAATCCCCTCTAATATTCACCTGCAATGTCTTTGCAGCACAAGAAATGAGAGAAAACAACATAACGAAGGCAATATGGCATTAAGAATTATTTCTATTCTAACTCATGAACGCGACCTCGCAATGTGAAAAATAAGTACGTTATTTTGAGGCACCTCGGGGATATGTGTTTATTCACCTTGGCGCTGCGCGCCTTGGTGAATAAATCACATATCCCGCCTCCGGTTACCTCAAAATAACCTATACATCGCATAGGGTTCTGATACTATGAATTGATGCATTGAACGACAGAGAATTCATCATAATTTGAACTAAACGTAACGCTCATTGGGCAGAGTTAAGCCTGGTTTCCATTTAGTCGTAACTGTCGTGAACATATCAAGGTAACCGATGTAAAAGAGTGTCGTTATAACGCTTCAACAAGTAAAAACTGATTTGCATACAGTACACAGAAGACATGTACAAGGTAGATAGATCTAGACTATTTCACATCATCGAAGATGACTTGGTCACGACAGTTACGACCAAATAACTCAATGGAAACCAGGCTTTAGTTCAAAAACTAAGGGTTCTCGACAGTTGGAGGCCCCCATCAGCGCCAACGCTATCGCCCAGAAAATTAGAAAACGTAAAAAATGCAGGTTAAAAATCAATGGGAAAATGCAAAATTAATAATGCTAAATGGTAAAGCCTCCATCGACAACGGTAGCTGATTTTTTTTATTCCATCTCAAATAAAACAAAGGTTATTCTTCCTAGTTGTTGCATGTGTTGGAGACTTTTATATTGTTGTTGTTGTAGACACGGAATTTTCCAGAATATTCTATAAATATTCAATATAAACATAATATCTCAGTCAAACAATGACAACAGTACAGTCAACAGGGCCCCCACACCAAATATGCCTAAGGGCCTAACTCATCATGGCAAATATCTGACATGTGCTGTCAGTTTGATTACCAATACACCACACTGACACACGATACTCGGACTCTGGGTTTCGACTTGTATAGTGTTAGTATCATTAGTTTTACTTTCATAGGTATAATCATGATGTTGGTATGTTATAGCAGGGGAGGTAGCCTACGGTGTAGGTCCCAGTTTCTGCTGGGGTCTACACCGTAGGCTACAGGGGAGGCGGAACAAAGACCATAATCTACCCGTACTAAAAATACCGCATGATCGCAGGTTAGCGGCTAGGGGGCTGTAGCCCCCAAGAAGTGGAACTGGGGGCTGAGCCCCCCCCCCCCGAAAAAATGATCAGAATATGAAGATTCTTGATCGCTAGCTGAAAGGCATGAAGTGTCACATATATTACCAACATTATGGTCAATGACTATGTTCCTTAAAGCTGGGAGCGCTTCAGCACCCGTAACAATATTTTCACAGGGTGCTAAACCGCCCTAAAAATACATCAAGTCGTATATGTTTCCATCGCCAGGTAGTTCAACTATGCTAACTTGCTGGAGATATTTCAGCCCTCGATCACGTCATCCAAAACTGACCAAACCTGAATTTAATAAGAAGCAATTTTTGCAGCATTGTTGCTATCCAGAGTCTTCAACTCGGTACCAGGAAGTGCAGGAAATGGCATTACCCAGCCAGGCCAGGCTAAATTTTCCCGAAATTTTTCCGCAAGAGCATGTTCCTGGATCCCCTAGTTTTCAGCGCTCCTAACTTAACAATATCTTTCTCTGCTACTGCTGTTACAGTTGGATCATGTTTTGCTTGCCGTGTTTGGATGAAAACTGCGTCCCCAACTTAGTTGAAAATTAGCCCCCCCCCTCCGCCAAAATAGACTTCCACTGCCACTGTGTTATAGTAAATTGCTCAGAGACTAGCATTCTTCGCAAGCACCTCAATAGGGGGACCAATATGACCGGACACTCAATAGGGACTGGTCATATTTGCTCCCCTGGCATATAGGTCGAGGGAAGATATAAGAACGCATGGCCGGGGACACGTTAGCAGAACTGTCCTTATTTTGACTTCATTATCATTACTCAACGCGTAATTATTTTTTTGGGAAAATGTTCCTCGGGCTTGGGTAAATGCACCTTGAATAATTCTTTAAACGATCGGTGTAATAATAATTATTATTATATGGCTTTTCAAAATTCTCTGTTCTGATTGGTTAAAAACCCATATCCGGACCGTGGTCCGTATTTTCCGTATCTGGACCGGTGTCCCGGATGTCGTTTATCTGCATGGCGGGAAATTTTTGCTTTGCAAACAGAAAAAAATTTTGCTTTTTAATTTTCCAATTGTGTGTCATTAAAATTGATGGATAAAAATTTCAAACAACCAAATTGTTTTTGATTGAGCATGCATGCTTACCGTATATTGTTACCCAGTGAAACTGACGATAGCCGATTTAATTCGCGCAAAAAGCATATGCTCACAGACTCGGTTCAGCCATATAATAAACCGATTATTGACCTCGCTTGTTCGGTCTGTACTGTGAAATATCAGACCTCTGTTTTTTGCATGGACCTCGCTCCTTCGTCGCGCGGTCCATACTAAAAAACCTCGGTCTGTTATTTCACAGTACAGACCTCACGCTCGGTCAATAAGCCGTTATAGGCTTGGCTCCAAAATTCGATCTGTCCCAGTATTTTGACTAAAAGTAAATTAAAGTGATCACCTTTCTCAGTGTTTGGATTTGGACTTTAGGATAAAGTTATTCATAATATATTTTGAAACATTGTAACTTGAGGGGTATCGTTTACGAGCTTCGCTATTTAATTAAAATCTTGTTGACCTTTTAACCTGAAGTTTTCTTAATTTTTAAAGTTTTTTTGAAGTGTGCTTGACTCAAAGCCTGTACATACATGGTTTGTAAGATAGCACAACATCTTATAATATGAAGAGCGAAACAATAATCAATATTCAATTAGAGACCATCCATTAAAGTTAGGGTCGGTACCAATAGGAAATTGTTGAGTAATAATTTTTTACTAACTGCTGGTTTTCACGTGCAGTCCCGTTGTAAAAACTTTAAAAGTTCAAGTATGACAATGTTGATAAATTCACGCTGATAAATTCTTTAGCATGTGCTAGTCTGAATTATTGGGTGTGGGAACGAGATTGTTATAGGGTGTGAGACTACTTATTTTCAGTAGTCCAAGAACCAAAAAGTTGTACGGGTACCACTTTTTTTGTTCTTGTACTAGCCCCGTTTACACTACGCTCAATTTTTGGTACGGCACGGATAAAATTGGTACCCGTACCACTTTTATGGTTCTTGGACTACCTAAATGGACTACCTAAATAGGTAGTCCAAGAACCAAAAAGTGGTACGGTACCAAAAATTAAGTATGTGTAGTTTGCAATATATAAGTGAAACCAGCGTGATTGCGTGAACTAGTGTTCCTCCTACTCAATGTCACCATGCAGGTTCGGAGAACATCATCTCCCTACAACTAGCCACTGAAGAAATTATTTCCACTCCAAACTTTAAATATATGTGTGCACGAGGAACTTTTAGAGTGCGCAGATACTTAATGAGTCTCATAATTGAAACTTTGGACAATTGGGCGTGACCACTGACCGCAATTCCAATGCCATATTTGCCACAGGCCTCAAAATATTATAAATATCCCATTTCCTACGTATGTTTCGAAATTAGATAATATATACGTTATATTAATAATTTGTATGATGGGTTTCCATATATAAAAGGTGAGTCATGTTTGAATAACACAGCGTTGTGATTTTGACCGCTTATT